CCCACCCTTGCTTATGGTTGCTTATGATTCATTCAAAAACTATTCCCTCTTTCTCTAGTAAGTTTATGAGTAATAGGGAAAATATATTGTCCTAACTTTTGAACCTCTTTGTTTCTATCATCTTTCCCTCCTCTTATCAACCACAACAGCTTCACATTGTTTAATGCCAAACCCAAACTGTCTTGCAACTTTGCCCATTTTGAGTTCGCATTTCTCCATCCTAATGCAACTGTGCTCTATCAGATGTTTATTTGTATATTTTATGTGCTACTTGCCATTTATGGACCTCTCTCATAATATTGGCTATTCCTCAGTACAATTATTGTATATAATTGTCTGTTCAAAATATATCCCCTTTTAAAATTCTATGTGAATGTGAATTTTTGATTCCAATTTGTGTAAGATGCACTATTGGACAAAGTCACAAGATCTCTTGTAAGCATGTGTACTCAGAACATGTATGATTTTATTTGTGTGCTCTGAGGCCATTCCTGGTAACACAACTCAGTTGCCTTATTGTTATCCCAAGCTTGGAAACTCAGCTAGCCAGGCGATGAACTCAGATCAAGGAACTTGTATTTGATGCAAGTGAAGAAAAATCTGTGCATTTATTCACATTTAATAAATGCAAGGCAGACAGGGGGCAAGATAGGGAAAATATAGAAAAGAGTCAACTTGGCATAGCATTTTGTGTTTTGTAATCGTTTCCACACAAACACACACAAACACTGCAAACTAACCTTGGTTATTTCAATTGGATCCTATCTCCATACACCATTACTAGTGATATTTCCTAATCTTGCTGCTGGTGAAAGTTGCCAAATATTGTCAGTTTCCGGTCTTAATTGCTGAACTCTTCTTTGGCATTCTACAAATAGCTAATAAATAGATTCCCACTTACCTACTTGCTGGAGTGATTCAAAGCCCACCTGGGCTTCTTCTGATGTGCCTGTGTGCAATAGAGAATTGTTCAGAGTTGAAGCTTTTGACACTGACCCAGACACACACATAATAAATAGCATTCTCCTTGAAATGATTGAAACCAGCTGACTGGAGCAAGATGGAGCAGAACTGAACTGGAGAGAAATGAATTAAAGATAAAGTTAGAAGAAGTGTGTGTGCGAGCGCATGTTTAAATATTTTCGAAGTGAGTAAAGCTGTTTCTCATAACTAAAATCCAGGAATTCCTTCTGAAAGTATGTCTTTTTAACTATTCCAAAAACATGGAAAATATCTGAGTTCCTTTTTCTTCTTCTTCTAAGAGACCTGGGATGCCAAAACATGGGCTGGTTTCAAGACTAAAAGAGGACAAAAAAGAAAAAATACAAATACATATTCCTATGGAGCACCTTCTGTATGTATGAGAACACATGCATGCATGGATAATTTGAGCTTATCAATTGTAACAATTAAAATAGATACATACAATTCCTTTTGTTTTGTTTTATTGACTTTGCAGTTTTATTGTTGCATACCTAGAGGCTGTGGATAGGATGTAAAAGAGACTTTGTGGAAGTTTGCATGTGTGGTGGGTGCACATTTATGCAGAGAGAAAGAGAATTCTTTGGCTGTATCCCTGGCCTAGAGAATCTTTGGATCTGTCATAACTCTGCTCTCTTTCCCACCCCATCTTTTCTCCACCTTTCTGTTGTCTCTCCTGCCAACACATTTTTGTCAGAGTGGTTCTCCTGGAAGATCATTCTGTTGGCAGATCTCCCTGGCAGAGTTCTTTTGAATGAAAAGTTGTGTGCCTAATTCCACACAGACATCCAAGCCAGTGTATCTTTGATTTAGCTCAGGAGTAGAGAAAATTGAGTCCAGAGCCCTTGCCAATATGGGAAAAAATACACCCCCCCC